TTTGCAGTTGCTGTTGTATTTGCAGTAGTATTAGCAGTAGCAGTTGTAGTGTCATGTACAGTTGTAAGTAAAGTAGCATTTGCTTGTTCTGTTGCAGTAACAGTTGCAGTACAATGCTTAGTAGTAGTTGCAGTTTCCGTTTTAAGTGCAGTGGCATGTGCATTTGCAGTAGCATATGCAATTGCGGTTGCAGGTAGTTTGCAGGCATATTAACAGTTGCAGTGGCATTTACAGTTTTATGGGCAACGAAGCTACATATGTAGTCTAATATGCAGTTACATGTGCATTTGCAGTTGCAGTCGCAGATGTGTGTCTAGTTACAAGTGCAGTTTCAGTTGCAGTACTAGCTGCATGTACAGTTGCAGTTGTAGTGGCTGAGGCAAATCACTTGCGCTTGTAGTTGCAAGTGCAAAGCAGTTACAGTTGCAAATGCATGTGCAGTTGCAGTTGCGTCTGCAGTTAAAGGTGCAATTGCTATTGCAGTGGGTGGTGTATTTGGAGTAGCATATGCATGTGCTGTTTTAGTTTTAGTAGCATGTGCAAAAGCATTTAAAGTGGCAATTGCAGTTTGTAGTGCATTGAAAGTTGCAAAAGCATATGAAGTTGTAGTTGCTATTGCATGTGCCCTAGCAGTGGCAGTTGCCGTTTCATCTGCAGTTAAAGTTGTAGTGAGAGTTACCGTAGCATAAGTAGTTTAAAGAGAATTAGGAGTTCCTTGTGCAGTAGAATTTGCAGTTTAATAAGCTAGGGTATCTGCAGTTAAGTGTACTAATTTAGTTGGAGATGCAGATGCATGTTTAGTTGCTGTAGGATATGCAGTTTTAGTGGCATTTTTTTTTTAAATTGCAGTTGCATATGCAGTTGCAGCGGCAGTTGCATTTGCAGTGTAAGTAGCAGATAGGGTTGCATGGGCAGTAGCAGGTGCATCTGCAGATGAGGTTGCAGTAAGAGTAGCAGTAGCATGTGCAGTAGCAGTTGCTCTTGCAGCTTTATCTTTCTTTTTAGTTACAGTTGTATTTAAATTTGAAGATTCAGTGGCATATGCAGTTGCATGCGGACTTGAAGATGTTTGTGCATTTGCAGTGAAATATGCTGCTGCAGTTGCTTTTGGATGTGTAGTTGCATTTGCGTATTTATTTAAAGTTTCAGATGCAGATATAAGTCAATTTGCATGTGCAGTTGCAGTAGCAGTTGCATTAGCATGCGCAATGGCAGTTTGTTGTTATTTTGGAGATGCATATGCAAGTGCTGTTGATGTTTCAGTCGTATGTGCAGGTAAAGTTGCAGTTGCAGATAAATGTTCAGGGGCAGTTACATGTGCTTTTGCAGTAAACTTTTTTATTGCAGTGGGTTTTGCATTTGCCGATTCAGTTAAATGTGCAATTTGATTTGCACTTGTTAATGCAGTTTCTGGTGCATTTTAGTTTTCATATGCATGTGAAATTATATTAGCAGTTTAATGTGCAGTTAAATTTGCACTTAAAGATGAATTTGCAGTTGCAGTTGTATGTCTAGTTGCATTTATAGTAGCAGCATCAGTTGCAGTGGAATGTGCAGTGTCAGTTGCAGCTGTAGTAAAAGTTTCAGTGAGAGGTGCAGTGGAATGTAAAGTTGCAGTAGCTCATGCAGTTCTATATACAGTAGTATTTGCAGTTTCATAAGCAGGTTAGGCTGCAGTTGCATGTACAGTCTAAGTTGCAGTTGCTATTCGTGAGCAGTAGCTTTTTGATTAGCAATTGCTGATGCATATTTAGTTCAAGTTGCTCTTGCTCCTGCAGTGGCAGTTGCACTAGCAGTTTTATTGCTGTTGCAGTTGCATGCGCAGTAATGATGCATGTAGAGATGCAGTTGCTATTTTATTTGAAGGTAAATAAGCAGCTGCAGTGGCATTTTTTGATAAAGTTGCGGCTGCAGTGTAATTCTTAGATAGAGTAGCAGCAGCAGTTGCATTTGCATGGAGTTGCAGTGGCATGTGCAGTTGCAGACTCCGTTGCAGCTGCATGTAAAGTTGCATTTTCATTTGCTGATACTGTTGGAGATATACGTTAAGAAGCATATGCATATAAAAATTTAGTTGCATGTGCAGTTGCATCTGCAGTAACAGTAGCATTTGCAGGTGTATGTGCAGCTAAGATGCATAAGATGTTTTAGTTGCAATTGCATGTGCATTTGCAGTTGCAGTAGCAGATGTATATCTAGCTGCTAGTGCAGTGGCTTTTTTAGTAGCAGCAGCATTTACAGTTGCAGTAGCAGTTGCATTTGCATGGGTAGTTTCAGTAGCAGTTAAGTGTTAAGTTGCAGTGGCTAGTTAATTTGCCTTTAACAATGACGTTAAAGTTGTGTTTACAGTTTTATTTGCATTTGCAGTAGCAGTTGCTTGAGCAGTGCTGTTGCTTGTTCAGTTGAAAAAGCATTTGCCATTGCAAGTGCTGGTACATTTGTTGTGGCCTACAAATGTGTTGTTTTATTTACACTTGCATTTGCAGCTGCAATTGCAGTTGCAGTAAAAGCTACAGTTGTGTCTGCTGTTGCAGTTGCATTTGCAGCTGTAGTTGCATGTTTATTTGCAGTTAAATATACAGTTTTAGTCACATTTTCAGTTGCATATGCATTTACATGTGCAGTACAGTTTCTTGTTTATTAAAGAAACATTTGCAACAACATTGGATTGTGCATGTGCGTTTACATGTTTATAAACAGTTTTAGTAGCAGTTGCATTGGCAGTTGAATTTACAGCTCCATGTGCAGTTCTTGTTGCAGTTGCAGTCGCCTGTGCTGATACAGTTTTAGTTAAATGTGCAAGTGCATTTCCATTTACAGTCGCATTTGTAGTAGCAGTTGCCTTTGCAATTGCAGTCGCCTTTTTTTTTGCAGATTTATTTGCATTTGTTGAAGCAGTTGCCTGTAAATTGGCAGTTGCAATTGCATTTGCAGTTAGTAGTTCATTTAATGTTTCATATGCATGTGCTGAAGTAATTGCAGTTGCATTTACATTTGCAGTTGCATTTGCGATAGCAGTATGTAGTGCATTTTAGGTTGCATATGCTTGGGCTCTTTTTGTAGCAGTGGCATGTGCATTTGCAGTTGCTGTAGCAATAAAAGTTTTTAGTTGCAGTTACCGGTTTAGGTGCAGTTGCATGTTTTGTAGCACTTAACGATGCATGTGCATTTGCAAGTCATTTGCAGTAGTAGCTACATGTACTTTTGCTTTTGCAGTTGCAGTAGAATGTGCATATGCAGATGCATGTACATTTGCAGTAGAATTTGCTGTGCAGTTGCTTTGGCATGTGCAGTTGCAGACTCCGTTGCAGCTGCATGTAAATTTGCATTTATATTTGAAGATGCTGTTGGAGTTATAAGTAAAAGAGCATAAGTAGTTGCAGATTTAGTAGTATATGCAGTTGCATGTGCAGTAGCAGTAGCATTTGTAGTTGCTTGTGCAGTAAAGCTGCATAAGATGTTTTATTGGCAAGTGTATGTGCATTTGCAGTTGCAGTCGCAGATGTATGTTTTATTGCCAGTGCAGTTAGCGTTGAAGTAGCAGCAACATGTACAGTTGTAAATGCAGTTGCAGTTGCATTAGAAGTTAGAATTGCTTGTATATTTGCAGTTAAATATGCTGCTGCAGTCGCCTTTAAAGCTGCCGTAGCATTTAAATTTGTATGGTTTTAAAGTTGCATATGCAGTCTTATATGCAATTGCCTGTTCACTTGCAGTAGCACGTAAAGTCGAAGTTAAATTTGCTATTGTCCTTGCACTTGCAGCAGCAGTTGCAGTTTTTTTTGCAGATGCAGAAGCTAGTCAAGTTAAATTTGGTAATACAGTTTAGGTTGCAATAGTATGTAGAGATGCTTTGCTTGTATAGTGGCAGTTGCAGTTACATTTTCTGTAGCATGAGCGGTTGTTTGGTCAGTAACCGATTCATGTGCAACTGCTGAAGCATGTCCAGTTTAAGTAGCAATTGCATTTGATGTTTTATGCGCAGTTGCATCTAAAGATACAGTTGCTGTTGCATGAGCAGTAGTAGTTAGAGTTGCAGCTAAGGTTGCAGTTGCAGTTGCTGTTTCATTAGCAGTGGAAAGTGCATGTGCAGTTAAAGTTGCAGTTACATTTGCAGTTGCATGTGGAGTTGTAGTGGCAATTTAAAGTGCATGTGCAGTTGCAGTTGCTGTTTCATTTGAAGTAACATGTGCAGATGTATTAGCAGTTTCTTTTATATGTGCTATTGCAGGTTCTGTTTCAGTAGCAGTAGCTGATCTACGTTCAAATTAAGGGAAGATGTGCATTTGCCGATAAAGTTGCAGTAGCATTTGCATTTGCTGTTGCGGTTGCAGTGTCAGACTTATGTGCAGTAGAAGGTAGAGATGTTGTTGCAGTTACATGTTCTTTAGTAGTTGCAGTTTTTGTTACATAAGCAGTTGAATTTGCTGTAACAGTTTTAGTAGCAGTAGCAGTTGCATTTTCAGTTTTAGTAGCAGTTGCAGTTTCAGTTGATATTGCAGTTGCTGATTTATGTACTGATTAAGTTGCAGTTGCAGTTGCCAGGTCGGTTGCTGAAGCATGTGCTTTTGCAGTTTACTGTGAATGTACTGTTTCATTTGAAGTTGCAGATGCATGTGCAGGTTCAGGTTCATGTGCAGTTGCCGATCCCTCAATAGAGTCATATGTTGATTCAGTTGCTTTTGTAGTAGCAGTTGCGATAGCATGTGCTGTTTAAATTTAAGTTGCTGTTGCGTTGCTAAATGTAGTGGCATGTGTAGTAGTAATTGTGGTGACAGTTGCATGTGCTATTTTATTAGCAGTTGAAGTAGCAGTTGCAGATGCTGTTGCATTTGCAGTAAAAGTTGCAGTAGCATTTGCTGTTAAAGCTACAATTGTAGTTGCCAGAGCAGCTGCTGTTGCAGGTGATCTTTCATTTTCTGTGACTGGTGCATATATAGTTTCAGTAGCAGTTTTTGTTGCAGTAGAAAATAATTTGCATGTTTATTATGAGAACAAGGTCAAGATAAAGTTGCAGTTTCATGTGCCATTTTATTTATAGTTAAATTAGCAGATGCAGAAGCATTTGCAGTAGCAAGTAATGATGCTGTTGCAGTAGCATTTATTGTTGCAGATGCAGTTGCTGTTTTAGGTGCAGTTAGCAGTTCATTTGCAGTGGCAGTTGCAGTGGAAGTTTTAGTAGCAGTTGCCGGTATAGTTGCCTTTAACGATTCATGTGCAATTGTTGGTGCATGTGCATTTGCTGTTGCTGTTGCATTAGCTGTTGCACGTTCAGGTAAGGCTGCATATGCTGAATCACCTAAAATCAAAGTTGCAGTTTCTGTTGCAATTGAATTTGCAGTGGCAAGGGCTTTTCTAGTAGAATTTTTAGTTGTAGACGAGGTTGCTATTGCATGTAGAGTTGCAGTTGCTTGTGCAGTAGCAGTTCCAGTTACATTTGCTGTAGAATGTGCATTTGCTAGGTTAGCTACAGATAAATGTGCAATTGCCGGAGCATGTACRGTTCCAGTAGCAGTTTTATCTGCAGTTTTATGCGTAGTTGCATTTAAAGATAGAGTTGCCGTTGCTTGTGCATTATTAGTTGCAGTTGCAGATAATGTAGCTGTAGCAGTTGCTGTTGCTTTTGCAGTTGAAAGGGCATGTGCAGTTTTAGTTGCAGTGGCACTTGCAGTTTAATTTTTATGCGAAGTAGCATGCAATGATGAAGATGCAGTTACATTTGCTGTAGTAGTAGCAGATGCCGTAACATGTGCATTTGCTTGGGCAAAAGCAGTGGCGTGTGTAGTTGCCAGTGCATGTGCAGTTAAAGTTTCAGTTACATTTGCATTTGCATGTGGAGTTATAGTTCCAGTGGGAAGTAAATGTGCAGTTGCAACTCGTATCGCATTTGCAGTACTATGTTCAGTTTTAGTAACAGCTACATTTACATGTGCTGTTGAAGGTTCTGTTGCAGTTGCAGTAGCTGATAAACGTTCGAGTTAAGAAAGGACGTTCATTTGCCGATAAAGTTGCATTTGCATTTTCTGATGCTGTTGCTGTTGCAGTTGCAGTCTTATGTGCAGGTAAAGTTGAAGAGAAAGTTGCAGTTACATTTGCTTTAGTAGTTGCAGTTGTGGTAACATGTGCAGTTGCAATTGCTCTAACAGTTTTAGTTGCATTGTCAGTTGCATTTGCAGTTGTTATTGCAGTTGCAGTTGCAGTTGCATGTACTGTTGCAAGTACAATATCATTTAAAGTTGCAGTTGATATTGCATTTTATTTTGCCTTTGTCGCTGCATGTGCTGGTAGAGTAGCAGTGGCTTTGGCATGGTCAGTTGCTGGTACATGTTCTGTTGCAGTTGACAGTGCAATTATTGTTTTATTTGTAGTGGCAGATGCATATGCTTGGGCAGGTGCATGTGCAGTTGTAGGTGCTACTGCAATTGTCGTAGCATGTACTGTTACAGTTTCAGTTGCCGTTGCAGTTCCAGTTTCCACCGTATGTGCAGTTGCAGTAGCATGTTAAGTTGCAGATAAAGTTTCCGATGCATGTAAAATAGCATGTTTTTTTGCAGTTGCAGTAGCAGTTCTATGTGCAGTTTCTTTTTAATAGTCTGTTGCTAGTGCATGTAAAGTTGCAGAAGCAGTTGCTATTCCATTTGCAGCGGTTGTTGCGTTTGCTGGTGTATGAGAAGTTCTGGTTTTAGTTGTAGTTGAAGTAGAAAGTGCAGTGAAAACTGCAGGTGCAGTGGCACGTGCTGGTAAGATTGTATGTACCGTTGAATGTATATTTGCCTTAGCAGTAGCAGTTTTAGTTTTAGTGGCAGTTGTAGTTGCTAGTAAAGTTAAAAATTTAGTTGCAGTTGCTGTTTTATGAACAATTGCCAGTGCACGTGCAGCTTCAGTTGTAGGTGTAATTAGAATTGCATCTTAATTTTTCGTTGCAGTTTCAGTTGCTGTTGCACAGGCAATTTCAAAAAAACGTTTAATTGCAATTGTAGTTTTAGTTGCAGTTGCAGTGGTTGTTGCCTGGACAGGTGCMGGTGCAGTAGCATGTGCTGTTGCAGATGCAGTTACCGTTTAATGTGCAGTCGATGGTGCATGTGCCGTGTAAGCTTTAGTTTCTAGTGCATAGTTGGTTGCAGATGCATGTGAAGTTTCAGTTGCCGTTGAATTGACAGGTAATTATGCAGTTCCTGCTGTTGTAAACTGTGCAGCTTTTAGTACAGTAGTAGTTGCCGATACATTTTCTTTGGCAGTTGAAGTTGCAGTTGCTATTGCAGCTTCAGTTGTAGTAGCAGTTGCCATTTTCAGGGGATGTTTGATTACCTATTTTAGTTTCAGTTTCATTTGCAGTTAACTTTGCAGTTGCTGTTGCATATACCGTTTAAACTGCAGTTTTTGTTGCAAAGTTTGCTGTATGTTCATGTAAAGTTTTAATTGCAGTTGAAACTGCAGTTGACTGTGCAGTTGCAGCTGCAGTTTACTTTTTAGTGTCAAGTACAAAAGCAGTTTCTTTTGCTTTTAATTTAGCAGATGCAGCATCCGTTGCATGTGTCGGTTTAGGTGCATTTGCAATTGCATTTGCTTTTGGAAGGGCAGGTGCAGTTGCATTGGCGTTTGCAGTTCTATACGCTATTGTATGTGCAGTTGCAGTGGCAGTAGCAGTTGCATATGACGTTGCAAGGACAAGTGCAGTTGCGTTTGCTGTTGAAGCTCTAGTTTCCGCTTCATGTGCAGTTGCAGATGAAGTTGCCGATGCATGTTAAATAGGAGGCTCTTTTGCAGTTGCAGTAGCGCCTCTATGTGCCAATTCCGTTAAATGGTCAGTTGCTAGTGCATGTGAAGTTGCAGAGGCAGTTGCTGTTGCAGTAGCATTTGTAGTTGCATGTGCAGGTGCAGTTGCAGTTTCTGTTGCATTTTTTGTTGAGTACTTTTATTCGAAAGAAAAGAAATTTGATGAGTTTATTATTTTCATTTAAATAAAAAGAGATTTGATAAGTTAAGTACTTTCATTTAAACAAAAAGAAACCTAATGTAATTAGTACAATTATATTAATAGAAAGAAATTAAATTAGTTAGGTACTTTTATTTAAATTGTAAGTGATTTGATGAGTTAAGCACTTTCATTTAAATAGAAAAAGAAATGATAAGTTGACTACTTTTATTCAAATAGAAAAAAATTTAATGAGTTGAGTACTTTTAATAAAATAAAAAGATATTTTATAAGTCTAGTAATTTCATTCAAATAAAAGAAGATTTAAAGAGTTTAATACTTAAACCTAAATAAAAAAAGATTTGATTAGTTAAATACTTCTAATAAATAAGAAAATCTTTTGATAAGTTTGTTATTTTTATTTGAATATAAAAAAAATTTGATGAGTTAAGTACTTTTATTTAAATGCAAAGAGATTCAATAAGTTAAGAACTTTCATTTAGATAGAAAACAATTTGATGAGTTTAGTACTTTATTTCAAATATAAAAAATTTTGATAAATTAGGCACGTTCATTTAAATAGAAAGAGATTTGATGAATTGTGTACGTTTATTTAAATGAAAAGACATTTAATGAGTTAGGTACTTTCATTTAAATAGAAAGTAAATGTATAAGTTTAGTACTTCTATTTAGGTAGAAAGAGATTTGATGAGGTAAATACTTTTATTTAGGTAGAAAGCGATTTGATGAGTTAAGTACGTTTATTCAAGTATAAAAAGTTTTAATGAGTTGAGAACTTTTATCCAAATAGAAAGAGATTTAATAAATTAAATACTTTCATTTAAATAGAAAGACATTTTATTGTTTTGGTACTTTCATTTAGATAAAAAGAGGTTTGGTGAAGTAAGCAGTTTCATTCAAATAGAAAAAGATTTTACGAGTTGAGTACTTTCATTTAAATACAAAGTGATTTGATGAGTATAGTACTTTTATTCAGGTAGGATGAGATTTTATAGGTTGAGTACTTTTATTCAGGTAGAAAAAGATTTTATCAGTAAGGTACTTTTATTTAAATAGAAAAACATTTGATTATCTTAATACTTTTATTCAAGTAATAAGAGATTTGCTTACTTGGGAACGTTCATTCAAATAGAAATAGATTTTATTATTTGTGTACGATTATTCAAATAGAAAGACAACTTATGAGTTGAGTACTTTCATTTAAATAGAAAAAGATTTGCTAAGTTTGAGCTTTTATTCAGGTAGAAAAAGATTTTATAAGTAAGATACTTTTATTCAGGTAGAAAGAGATATGATTAGTTGTTTACTCTTATTAAAGTATAAAGAGATTTGATGAGTTGAGTACTTTTATCTAAGTAAAAAAATATTTGATGAGTTGATTACTTTCATTCAAATAGAAAAAGATCTTATAAGTATGTACTTTTATTCAGTTAGGAAGATATTTGATAAGATGAGTACTTTTAATCAAGTAGAAAAAGATTTGATCAGTAAATTACTTTCATTTAAAGAGAAGGAAATTTGATTATCATAGTACTTTTATTTACATAGAAAGAAATTAGATAAGTTTAGTACTTTTATTCAGGTAGAAAGAGATTTAAAGTGTTTAATACTTGCTGCGTATCCTACGCAACGAGTGAGTAGGGCTAAGCGCCGGGGTGGGTACGGCCCTGCCAAGGCGTGAGACACGCGCGACAAAGCAGTTTCTTTGTTTTGGTGGTAACCATGGTAGCGCCAAGATGATTGTAAGGACTTCTTCTTTCTTCTATCTCGCGTGCTCCCTCCACATTTATTACGCCAATCACATGTATCGACAGCCGCGTTATGCTCGGGCTTTTCGGTGATTAGTGCAGCATTGCATCGCTTTTTTGTATAAAGCCCAGAGCGTTCTTGCGCCTAGCGTCACTCTTGATTCATCTCGCGTGATTCATCGCTCGAGATACATATAACTTAGAAAGCTGAGACTTGCGAGAACTACTTGGAGGAGAATTATTGTATTGCACAATACTACATAATTTAAGTTCGGCCAGCGACAAGGGACAAAGGTTGTCCTGTACTTGGCCAGAATTATCCTGATTTGTACGGATTCTTCGTCAACGTTTCAACCAGAGTTTCTATGCCGAAAGGCTTTTCCCTGACGAGCCAAATAAGGCGTACTTTTTAGTACTGACTGGGCTTAATTATATTTGTTAGTGTGTTTTATTTTTCTATCCTCCTTCCCATTAATAAACAATCTCGATATCATCCGTGAAGGCATTTTTCGATTCACTACAATCCACTGGAGTAGCGAATAAGGCATCGGTCGCATCAACAATACTATTATTTAGGTAAAAAGAGTTTTGATGAGTTAAGTATTCTCATCCAAGTTGAAAGAGGTTTAATAAAATAAATACTTTCATTCAAGTAGAAAGCGATTTTTTTTTTAAATTCTTTTATTCAAATAGAAAGAGATTTAGTTAGTTGAGTACTATATTTAAACTAAAGAGAGAATAATAAATAAAATATTTTCATTTAAATAGAAAAAGATTAAATTAGTTGAATACTTTTATTTAAAAAGAAAGAGATTTGTTGAGTTAAATACGTTCATTCAAATAGAAAGATATTTAAAGAAATAGGTAGTTTCATTGAAATAGAAACATATTGAAAAGGAGAGTAATTTTTTTAAGTAGAAATAGATTTAATAAGTTGAGCACTTTGATTCAAGTAGATAGAAATTTTATGAGTAAAGTACTTTCATTCAAACAGAAACAGATTTAATGAGTTGTGTACTTTTATTCAAATAGATAAAGATTTAATGAGATGCGTACTATCATTCAAATAAA